CGTTGTGCAGAGGCAAGAGTCGTGTCTCTTGTTCTTGTTTCTGCCACTCGCCTCCTCTCCTGTTGCTCCTAACCCTCCCTTGTTGCGCCGCTTCTGTGTGTGCGTTTTCTTTCCCAATGATTGTGAGGAGGAGGGCGGGGAGGGGTGGAAAGAGGGGGGGGGGGGAGGAGGGGAGGGTGAAAGGGGGAGAGAAGGAGGAGGGTTGGGTAGAGTAGGGTGGTGCCTGTCCTTGTGTGCGTGTGCGTGCCTGTGAGTGTGTCTTTCAGGCTCCAAGTCGTGGAGTGCGGTTTGCTTCGAATGCTTGCCTGTGCGTCAGTGAGGACAGCATCCGTTGCTTTCTTCTCCAAGACAAGAGGTAATTAAGGTAATTAAAGTGAGGATGCAGCACCAGGGAAAATGCATTCTCCATTGCGTTTTGTCCCAGTCCCCCTTCCAGCTGCCATCTGCTATCTCTTCTGGCAATACTCCCAGTTCCGCATGTCAACGCACTTTCACATCCTCAGCCTCTCATCCACTCGCTTTTTGAATGCAAATCCACCATTCTCATTCTTTCTGTTGTGCCATTCTGTCTTGTCTGCCATAATTTTACGGTACGCATACGTCTCTGCTACTCTGTTACCAGATGTTCATGCCCCTCTGCTCGGCTCTCAAAGCCCTCCTCTCCTGCTCCCTACACTTCTCTCCTCTCCTCTCTTCCATCACCTGTACGGCACCACCTATTCTCCCACACCAGCAGCATGAACAGCAGCAGGTTTCAGTTGCAGTGGTGGTGGCAGCAGCAGTTGCAGCATCAATGGCCACTGCAGTGATTGCAGCTGCAGCAATGGAGGGGTAATTACGCTCTACCCTACGTTTCCAAGTTTTCTCTCTTTATGTTTGTTGTTTAACATCGTTTGCTTTCTTGTCTAGACTCCAGTACCTTCTCGGTATGGTGCCCTTCTCGTTTCCCCTCATCCCTCCCATCTGTCTGTATCTTAATATTATGGTGCCCTCTCCTCCCCCTCTCTCCCTTCATCACGTCCTTGTAACCTGTTGTTTTAGCGACCTTGTTTTTCTCCCCTCTCCATGTCCCTTTGCTGTCTCTGCCAGCATCCGTGGGGGAAGCAATGGCAGCAACAGCAGTGCTGCAAATTCTACATAGTTCGTGTGATGGGAGATTCTGCAAAGGGGAATTGCTGGCCTTGTTATCGTACATTTCTCACTTAGTGCTCGCCTTTCAATGGCCATCTGACGTGAATACAACACACAACTAGTCTTTGCCGTCTGATCATCTTCACTTCTGCAGATTCTAAGTGGCTCCTCCTCCTTCTTTCTCTTCCTTCAATGTCCCATTGCTGTCCCGTTGGCAGCTTTTCCTCGTAAGTGGCTCTCTTATGGTGAAGTGCAGGGCGAGGGAGAGGACATCTAGGGTGGGGTGCCACTTGCTCAAGATGGACCACTGCTGTGCTTTGGTTTGTTTATCTCTGCTTAGGTGTGCCAAGGTTTGCTTAGGTTTGTGTGGGTGTGTTGTGCTCCGCTGTGCTGGGATGGGTCTGCATGTTGTGGAATAGGTTCAACCTGAAAGGTGTCTGTGCACAAACACCCAAGCAGGACGGAGAGTCCTCTCCTCCTGAAGGTGCTTTGCCATGCCAGGCAGCCAGCACAGTGATGAGGAACATGTAAGTGCAGGGAACTGAAACACGCAATGCATGCAGCATGCATGCACATACGGTACAGACAAAAAAAAAAAACAACCAGCCATGAGACAGGCAAACCCCTCTCACATAGAAGTGTGGATGGCAGGGACCGACAGGGAGCAGGCTTGTCATGGTTTGCACAGGTACTGCAGTACAGGAATGGTCAGATGCCGCTGCCAACAGACAATCAGCCAATCCGACAAGCAGCCAAGTACCGTAGCAAAGCAGCCCGGCAGCACCCCAGCTAATCAGCCAACCAGCTATCCAGCCTATTAGCCATGCAGATAACTGTCAGAACACGCTCTTAACTCTTGACTTAGTAACTTAGGGTTTACCTAGGAAGCGTGAGTGTCGAGAGTGAGCATGGCAAGAGAATTGGGCAAAGAGGGGATTCACTAAGGAATGTTTACAAGATATAGGATAGGGGAGAGGATAGGGTACACCACCAGCAGTTGAACCTAATAACTAACTAATACACTAGCAAGCTGTAGGCAGTTAGGATATGCAATATAATTCAACAATAACCAACCAGCACTCCAGCTAAACAGCCTATCCCAGTTCCTTGCATCCTGACCTCACACTTCAGAATGGCATCTCGCTAGGTTTTGGGGCTGTCTGACAGTACCCTGAAAAAAAATTCCCCCGTCTTACGCTCGGACGACGAAATTTACATGGTCTGCATTATAAGCTGGAATAGTTTTTCTAGTCTGATAAATAAGACGAAAAAAAAATCCTGTTAAAAGTCAACCTACTGTAATCCTACCAGCAAGTCTAGTCATACCGTAAGCTCCCGGATAGTAGACCCCCCGGAATACAAGACCCCCGGGTCTGTATTACAGGGGTGGGTCTTTTATTTTGGCAGGTTTTCACTATACCCCCCCCTAGAGGGGTAAACAATACTAGACCCCCTTCCTTATGGTTGTCACTAGTTCATAATGGGAATAAGATGTCTTATCAAGTGCTTCACTAGCAAGACAAGCTTGACACCAATGCAACCTATTCACGGTTTGCATTTCAGAGATTTAGGGGGCAACAAGGGGTGAAAGGATTGACATGCCTCCCATTGAACAGTAGGGGTTGCTGCACGGGCCACCGTGCAGCCCCTGCGCTCGAGCCGTGCATGTGTCAGGGTGTCGAGGTGGGATGGCACGCTGACGAGCCACAACGCGAACCTCAATGCTGGAATGTGGTAACGTGCGATTTTGGCCAATGAGAAGGCCACAAACTGATTCCCCTGTATGATGTGGCTACATCGCAGAAGTCGCACATGTGCTGCCCAAACAACAGGGAAAAAGAATGTCAAGCATCCTCATCAATGACGCATTCGATTACACCTTTAAAAATTATATCAATTTAATAAGACCCGGGTACTAAACAATCTTGTGCCGTTGACAAGACCCCCCCCTATTTTTTTATGAATTTTACATAAGACCCTAGGGTCTACTATCCGGGAGATTACGGAAGTACCTAACAACCTAGCTACAGTAGCAAAGGACTTAGTCAGAGTCACTAGAGCCGTACACTTCATTGCTATCAGTATCATCCTCGCTAACAACTGACTCTGGGACAGTGGCCCTTTCTTTCCTGCTAAGCCACGGGTACTCAGCATCCATCCTTGCTGCTTCTGCTGCTAGGGCCGCTTCTCGAGCAGCCGCTTCTGCTGCTGCTGCTGCTGCTGCAGCTGCGGCCGATCTTTTCTTCGCACGCTTGCTCGGTCTCTCCCCGGACGCCATCAGCACATCATTCGCAAGCCTGCGCTTCTTGGAAGCATTCCACCTCCTCAGTAACTCGGGCCACTCCATGTCGTAGTTAAGGAGCGAGACGGCCATCAGCTCTCTTAGCTTCGCGTCGCACAGGTTCCCGCGAAGCCAGCTTTTGATGATGTTCTGCCGTGAAAAGCCGCGCTCACACTCGACGGTACTGGCTGAGTCGGACCGCCCGGACGTCCGACGGTGAGAACCCGCTGCTTATACCGCTTCTTTAATGATCTGTCGGGCAAGACGGGGTTAGCACTGAGAGAGGTAGTATCGACAGATACTGCAGGGATGCTCTTATTTGCACCGTTGTCTGGCATCCGAGAAGTTACTAGCGTAGTAGGGGTAGCGGTTGATGGCACGGAATGATCGCCATTTACCGAGATTGGAGCATCGCCTTCGGGCAAAGGGACCGCAGCAGAGGTCGACGCAATCGGTGGGGCAACAGAAGCGATCTGCTTGCCCCGCGTTAGGAAGTCTAACGCCGTAAGCACGGGCTCCGCATCGCATGGTCCGCCGGCGGGGACGGCCATAGTCTAAACGCTGGGAAGGATACGGTCCATGCTCGGCTGAGTGAGAGTTGAGGACAAGCAGGAGAAACAGGCTTGTTTTCAAGCCTCACCCAGCTGCATGAAACCCCATCACCGTGCACTGCATTCAGAACCGAAAGGCGCTGCGTGTTGGGAGCGGGGGGCACTACGACCACAGTGCAATGTTGCGTGACGTCTAGGAAATGCAAATGCGCTGGCAGTGGCACAACGGGACAACGCGTTGCCGTGGTCCTGACCTCACACTTCAGAATGGCATCTGTGCACTGGCACTTGGTCCTACCGGGTTCTAGATTCAAAATATGCACTCCAGCCAACCAGCTATCCAGCCTATTAGCCATGCAGATAACCAACCAGCACTCCAGCTAAACAGCCTATCCCAGTTCCTTGCATCCTGACCTCACACTTCAGAATGGCATCTGTGCACTGGCACTTGGTCCTACCGGGTTCTAGATTCAAAATATGCACTCCATGATGGCACATGACAGCATTTGCAGCTGCCACAAACCAGTCACAGATCAGACCTCATGCCTACAGCACCAGCTCCTGGTGGTGTATGGCAGGACCAGCTCCTTCAGCACTGAACTTCTGATTCTTTGTTCAGCAACCAGGCTTGGCAGGTGCAGAACATCAACATAAATGTGTCCATCAGGTAAGGCAAGAAGGTGCGCACAGCAAGCATTTTGCAGACAGAAACGCCACCAGGGAGATTGCAACATTCTGTTCACAAGGGATTTCCGGCAGCTAGACGTTTCGGCACTTGGCCCTCTCCTCTCCAGCTTCCACAAATTTTAGCATTTTGGTACATAATTCCCGCAGACCTGAAAACAAGCCCTGGTGGTGCGAAGTTCAAGAAGAATCACCAGTCTTCGCAGCTCAATCAACTTGCAGCCGTAGGATAACGTATTTCGGAAAGGTCTCACAGCCGCCGCAAACGCGTTGTCTCCTACTGTATTTCCGTTGTGACGTTGCGACCGCGTCACTCCTAACCTTGCGCGGTATTTTGTTGTTTAGTAACTGCCATGTCAGATTCGGAGGACGATTTCGAGCAAGAGCTTCTGCAGGCCGTTGGTCGCGCCGGCAGAAGCGGAGGCAGAAGCGGCGGGGGAGACGGCGGAAGGAAAGGCGGAGGCGGGGGAGGGAACAGGCGGAGCAGCAAAGGCGGTCGCAGCCGTCGATCTGGATTTCGTAGCTCGAGCAGCAGCGAAGATCAGCCGTCGGATAACGAGGATGACGATGACGAGTACGAGGATATCGAGGAGCGGGAGCGCGCAAGAGGCGCGCGGGGATCCGCCGGCGCGGAAGGGAAAACGGATACCCGCAGCCGCGGCAACGTGAGCCCTCCGCGGGGAAGCGGTTTCCGCAGCGGTGGCGGCGGCGGAGGCGGGGGGAACCGTGGAGGGGGAAGGGGAAGCGGGTCGGACGAGGATAGAAGGGCGCGCGGGAGCGGCGGGGGGGATGGGGATTCGGAAAGCAGCGGCTTGTCGTTTGGTAGCGATTTGTACAAGGACGACGACGATCGCGAACGGTTACAGGCGATGAACGAAATCGATCGCGAGCAGATTTTGTTCGAGCGCGACGAGAGGCGACGAAGCCACCTGGACAAACGGGAGCTTCGCAAGAAGCTTCGCCAGCAGCAGAAGCTGCACCCGCAGCAGCAGCAGTCGTTTCAACGCACCCAGGAGCGCACGCCGCGCGCATCTGCGCGAGAGCCGGCGGCTTCCCCCGCAGCCCCGCCGCCGGCGGCCGCAACGGCAGCGACCACGCCAGAACCGGCGGCGCGCGGAGCGCCAGCATCGGGATCCGCTCCGGGGTCGGCGGGGGGGCCGTCGTACACGCCGCCGGGATCGGCGGTGGCGCGCGCGCGGGGGTTCGGCGGCGTGGAGCGGAGCCGCAAAGAGGACGCGCTGCAGCAGCTGGAGGCGAAGAAGGCGGCGAAGCAGCAGCGGCGGAACGATCTCGACGCGGATAGGGGCGGGGATAGGGATGCTTCCGACGACGGCGGAAGCGACGATGCTTCCCGCCGCAAGCCGCCCGCGCCCTCGCCCGCAGACGCGAAACCTCCTGCTTCCGCTCGTTCCCGCTCCCGTTCCCGCTCACGATCCCGTTCGCGATCGCGTTCCCGCAGCAGCAGCAGGGGCAGGGGCAGGGGGAGGGGCCGCGGGAGAGGGAGCGACAGTGATGCCAGCAGCAGCAGCCGCAGTAGCAGAGGCCGCCGGCGACGCAGCCGCAGCCGCAGCAGCGCGAGTTCTGATCGCAGCAGCAGCAGGAGCAGCCGCGGGAGGAGCAGCAGCCGCAGCAGCCGCGGCAGCAGCAGCGACAGCGACAGGGGCAGCACGAGCAGCAGCGACGGGGGCCGGGGCGGGAGGGACGGGGGGCGGAAGCGCGGAGGCGACCAGTCTAGATTCGCTGAACCGGATGATTTGGCGCAGATTGTGGTGACGCGGTCGAAGCTGGCAGCGTGGTGCATGGAGCCTTATTTTGAGTCGCTGGTGTGTGGGTGCTTTGTGCGGCTGGGCATTGGCATGAACCCCCATGGCCAGCCCGTGTATCGCATCTGTGAAGTGGTGGCGGTCGATGCTAAGGACCCCTCCAAACAGGTAGGGTGTTGAAGCTGGCAGCGTGTTGTATGTGCGGAGCCGTATCTTGAGTCGCTGGTGTGCGTGGCGGTTGATGCTAAAGACCCCCCGAAGCAGGCACGTACGTCACTCCTTTCCCCCACTCTGCTCTGCTCCCTCGTGCCCTCCACCTTCCCTTTGTGCCCCACGTAGCGCCAGTACAAGTTCGAGGGGCGCATGACGTGCAAGTTCCTGGACTGGACTGCAAGTGCCTTATGAGTCACCCTTATCCATCCCCTCTTGCCCTCCGCCCCCCATCTGCTCCCTTCTCATCCCCACCAGTACAAGTTCGAGGGGCGCATGACGTGCAAGTTCCTGGACTGCAAGTGGGGCGAGCACAGGGCGCGCTGGCAGATGGCTGCAAGTGCCTTATGAGTCACCATCTTCGTCCCCCCTTGCCCTCTCACCCCCCTGCCTGACCCCCCCACTCCAGTACAAGTTTGAGGGGCGCATGACGTGCAAGTTTCTGGACTGCAAGTGGGGCGAGCACAGGGCGCGCTGGCAGATGGCACGTGTGTCTGACAAGGCCGCCACCACCCAAGAAATCCTGCAGCTGTTCCGGGAGATCGAACGCGCCCACCTGCACAGGTAGGGGGCTTGGGGCTTTGGGGGGTGTGTTACAAGCCCGCCACACTACCCAGGAGCACCTTCAGTTGTTTTGGGAGATTGAGTGCGCTCTGATTACACCCCACCACCACAATCCCCTTTTCCTTCACCCTATTCCCCCACCTTTTTCCAGGGTGACCTAGGCGGCGGTGCAGGAGAAAAAGGCGGAGCTGGAATCAGTGAGAGGGTGTGTGTACTCAGGAGAGGTGGTGGCCAGCATGCTTCCACACCCCTTACTACACCCCTTACCACACCCCTTACTACACCCCTTACTACACCCCTTACCACACCCCTTACTACACCCCTTACTACACCCCTTACTACACCCCTTACTACACCCCTTACTACACCCCTTACTACACCCACTCAACATCACCCCCTGCCCCCTTTCTCTCCCGCCAACCAACCACTTTCTAGAGTGACCAAGGCAGCCGTTCAGGAGAAAAAGGCGGAGTTGGAGTCGGTGCGAGGGTATGTGTACTCCGCTGAGGTGGTGGCCAGCATGCTGCAGGACCCCTTCCAGGCCTTCCCACCCCCTTCCCCCCAACCAACCCACCCCACCCCCTCCTCTCCACCCCCACTTCCCCTTTCCTACTTAGAGTGACCAAGGCAGCGGTGCAGGAGAAGAAGGCGGAGTTGGAGTCGGTGCGAGGGTATGTGTACTCGGCAGAGGTGGTGGCCAGCATGCTAAGGGAGAAGCGAGCAGCGGCGGCGAAACCGAAGCTGGTGGTGATGGAGAGGGAGAGGGTACGACTGGATATAGCCGCTGCTGAGCAGAGAGGGGACCTGGGAGCCGTGGAACAACTCAAGGCGGAGGTGAGCAGGAGGGGGAGAGGGGGTGGGAAGGGGGGGGGAAGGGGGCGAAAGGGCAGCGGCAAGACTGGGAAAAGGAGGGGATAGGGGAGGGAAATGGGGGCGGGAAGGGGGTAAGGGGCATGTGTGAGGGATAGGTGTTGAGGCTGCTGGTGGCGGTGCGACCGAAGCTGGTGGTGATGGAGAGGGAGAGGGTACGACTGGATATAGCCGCTGCTGAGCAGAGAGGGGACCTGGGAGCCGTGGAACAACTCAAGGCGGAGGTGAGCAGGAGGGGGAGAGGGGGTGGGAAGAGAGGGGGAAGGGAGTGGTAGGGGAAGAGTTAGTGCACCTCGACGTGTCTGCGCCCATTCCATGCCCTCTTCTTCCACAATCCATTCCCACCATCATGCAATCGTGCATCAGCGGTACCTGTGCTACTTCAACGCGCGTCACCATCACATGTGTTACCTGGTTACCTTTGTCTCCACCATCCCCACCCCATGTGTGCCACTAGTTGGAGAAGCTGGAGAGGATAGGGGAGGACAAGGGCGAGGCGAACAAGGGCAGGCGAGAGGTGGATCTAGCAAGGATGAACAAGCGCAACCGGCAGGAGAACTTCCGCACCGCCACTAATGCTCCTGCTGGCGCCACAGGTGTGTAGAGTGGTCCGGCACTGGTAAGTAGGGTGGTGCTCCGCTTGCCCTGCCCCAGGGTCGTTAGAGCTGTATTTGGCACAACTGCTGGCGCCTTTGGTGGTAAGAGTGACGCCGCAGGTCCGTGGTGCTCCTTGCCAGGTCGGTCGATGATCATTCACCACTGAAGGTGCTCCCAGAACTGCCACAAGAGCCCTGCTACGCCGGCTGCTGCAACCACTCCCCCTGCTGGAGCACTTTTTCTTGTCCCACGAAGCTGAGGTGGCATCTGATTCATCTTAACAAACATTTTGTTTCTCGTTGCGCCGCCTCTCTTCCAACAGAGACCAAGACGGGAGAGGCGGCTGTGGATCCCTTTATTCGCCGGTGGACGCGCTCCCAGAACTACTACAAGAGCCCCGCCGCCCCCACTGCTGCCGCTGCTCCCTGGTCTGATGACGAGGACGAGGGTGCAGGCAAGGACGGGGGAGGGAAGAGTAAGGACGGGAAGGGTAAGGATGGCAAGGGCGAGAAGGGGAAGGAGGGAAAGGATGCGGATGGGAAGGGTGGAGGAGCGGAGGAGGAGAGGGAGAAGGAGAGGGAGAAGGAGCGGGAGAGGCAGCTAGGGAGCTGGTTGGGGCAGCAGTTGGACGAGCGGGCGAAGCAGGTGCTGCGGAAACACGCCTTTGACATGGACATAGACCTGAGCGTCGTGGACAAGTGGGGGGGAGCAGGGGCAGCGGCTGCGGCACAGAGAGGGAGTGTGGGGCCCGCAGTGTGGGAGGCGGCATTTCTGGCGCGCAAGAGGCAGCAGGAGGCGCTGTATGGGGCTCCGATTGGTGTGGCTGCTGGGGAGACCCCGCGGGGGCTCAGGTTGTTGACTCTTAGTGTGTATAAGAGGCGCCGGGGGCTGCCTTGTGACTGAACAAGGATTGGTGAGATGTGTTGCGTGGTGAAGGGTTTAGGGGATGATACATAGTTGGTACACTGGAGCTCGATCTGCACTACAGGTTAGCTGGGATGGTTAGAGGTGCCGATGTGTTGGGAGTTGTTTGGGAGCTAGGAGAATATTCGCACGAAGTGATTGTTTGAAGTTGTCCATATCAACCAGAGTGGGCCTGTTGGCTCTACCCTGCTGCTCCTCATGACTGAGTTACACCTGTGCCCAAGGCAGGCACAGATTGGTCGCCATTTCCCACCCTCGTTGCCACGCAAGTTCCAATGCCTAAGGCATAGCTACCTCTTTCAAAGCTCTGAAGATTCTCTTTCAAGTGACTTCTGAAGAGCTCAAGCTGCACTTCAACTGACAGGGGAGTTAAAAGATTCTCTACTCAAATGTCCGAATTGTTTTTAGGTCTTGAAGCATGGCTTCTATCTGGTCATCATCAATCATTGGCTCCCTGCCATCCATCTGCACAGACGTGACAGGGCAGGGGAATGGAGTGCACTCCGTTTTACAGGTACTTCACTGTTCACTGACTAATTTCGGTGGGAACAATGAAGGCCTAAGTGCATTCAAAGTGCCAGAAAGGCCTGAAATCGAAACGTACAGCTAGTGAAGGCACGAGTGACTTGGCCTCATCCACAGTGTCAGGTGCCAGGTTGCCTATCACACACACCTGCACAGACACAATCAGAACACATGTGCCGTTGGCCCAAATTGCACAAGTTCTTAAAAGATGACGAGAGGGAGTTTTACTGGTTTGGGTTTTGGCGAGAGTTTCCGATCTCGTGAAATTCGATTTTTTCGCCCAACCTAGCCAGTCCCCGCGTTTTTACTCTGGCGGGTGTGTCAGATTTTGAAAGTCCCAAATTGCAGCTGCGCTTCTTTTAAAAGCTTGCACAGCCCACTTCGTCAAGTTTTAAAAACTTGACCCGCGCGGTCCGCAATTTGGGCCGCGGGCTTTAAACATTGTGCAGGGAGCGACAGGCAAGAATATACAGTACATGCCTTCAGAGAAGATGGTCAAGCATTGAACGAGTCAGGGGAGGAGGTGGGGAAGACAGGGAGCTTGAGGGATACCAGGTGGATCCAGCACTCACTTCAAATTCGTGCAGCTTGCCCTTGCCAGCCAATGCCCTGCCAAACATGACGTCAACCCACAATGTCATGTTTAATCCGTACCATGAAAGCATTGCACGCTACCGTGACAGCATTGCATTGAAGTTGTGCACTGGGAGACTTACTCCCTGACTTGTTTCACCGCTTGAGGGTTCTGATAACGGCTGGACCGTTTCACGTACTGTAGTGACTTCTCCAGCACCCTGCACGCAATGAAGGCTCACGATTATTGACTTATGAAGGCTTGAAAACGTCTGAGAGACCCTAACGACGTAATTCAGGTGCAGGATTGATAGGGAGAAGAAAGCTAGCGCAAGCTTTGATCAGGTACTCACGAATTAAGCTGTAGCATGGGATCAACGTTGTTTTCCCGGAGGCTCTCGAGCTTCTTATCGAGGATGAGAGCCACCTCGGCGTTCATGAGGCACTTGGCTCGACTGAACTCTGACACATCGGGGGAAATTAAGATTCGCGAAGCCGTAGGATCACAGATACGAGAGAAAAGAGGGTGCTAGGGTTAGCTGCGACGGTGTCATGCTGGAGAAGCTAGACGCAGACGCTGCATGATGGAGCTACTAGGCTAGGGAAGAGTATGCGACCTGATCCGAGCTTCAGTTGACCTGCGTCTTCCTCCTCCGCGACGTTTTCGGACGCCATGCTGTGATGGACGAGTGAAGGCGAGGTGGTGTATTAGTGCTCCGAAAGCACTTCTACAAGTTCCAGATCACTGTATTAATGATGGTCTTCTACGATAGACCAGAGTCAGGCAGACTTGAGATTTTTGCTTGAGGTCACACGCAGCTGCCTGAAGACGTATTTGACCAGCGACCTAATGGAAGCATGCAAGTTTTTTCCTATCCGATGAAATCGATGGCGGAGGATGGAAAATTCCAACAGAGCACAAAACATACCTTTTTACAGCTCAAGCTTCGTTAAAGCTTCAAAGTAGATATGTATTTCTGCGGCATACAGTCTGTACAACACGAATCGTGGTGTTGGAAATTCTCCCTTCTCTTCCCATTCATTCTTGGCCCTCGAGATCTCCAATTCCTCCAAATCCTCCACCACAGATACAATGCCTGGCCATCTACGCCATTCCCCAATTTAGCTCTGGCGTTTGCTGGCTGGGAGGAGCAAGTCCGAGGACGGACCAGGTTTTTGCCGGAAAGACTTGTCCTTTTCTCGCGGTTTTTTCTAGTACGGCGTAATTGTCCGGATCTTAGTCGGAAATCTAGATCTTTGTGGTGCTGTGTTGGCGAGCTTTAGATTTCCGACATGGCTCCAGCCAAGGCTGCTGGAGCAGCGGGATCCACTCCCGCTGCTCCCAAGTCCGCGACGGCGGAGTTATTAGATACTCTGGAGGAGAAATTTCGGCTTACGACGAAGCAGCAGGAGCTCCTGATCCGCGTCGCGACGCTTCTACTAATCTACATCCTCGCATTCGCGACTCGACTCTTCTCCGTGCTCCGTTACGAGAGCGTGATTCACGAGTTCGATCCCTATTTTAACTACCGGACCACGCTGTATCTCACTCGTAAGGGATTTTACGAATTTTGGAACTGGTTCGACCACGAGACATGGTACCCGTTGGGTCGCATTATCGGATTCACTCTCTACCCTGGTCTCATGGTGACGTCAGCGCTTATCTACTGGGCTCTCCATGCGCTCTCATTGGTGGTTCACATCCGTGACGTGTGCGTGATGACCGCTCCGTTCTTCGCGTCAAACACCGCCATGGTCGCGTATTTCTTCGGAAAGGAGATCCGCGATTCGGGAACCGGTCTTATCGCCGCGATCTTCCTGGCCATCTGCCCGGGTTACATTTCGCGATCCGTCGCAGGATCGTACGATTACGAGTGCATCGCCATTTTCGCGATGATCCTCACGTTCTTCCTCTTCGTGAAGGCCATTAACACCGGCTCTCTCGCCTGGGCTGCCGGCGCCGCGCTCACTTATTTCTACATGGCAGCATCATGGGGAGGCTACATCTTTATCATCAATCTGATTCCGATCTACGTGGTGGTGCTGCTGATCACGGGGCGCTACACCCCGCGGCTTTATATCGCGTACAACGCGTTTTACATCATCGGAATGCTGCTGGCGATGCAGATCCGGTTCATCGGCTTCCAGCACGTTCAGTCCAGCGAGCACATGGCGGCCCTCGGCACCTTCTGCCTCATCCAGGTACGCACTTAGCGGACAGTCCGTTCGAAACTTGGCGGGTAATTTGTCATTTGCCTCATCCACGTAGGCAGTTCGCGAATTTCGGCTCATGCTGTCTCATTGGGATCGACGTTTAGCGGATTTCGGCGCATTTTGTCGGATTGAGGTAGGCAGCTAGCGGATTTAGCGCATTCTCCCAATCATTGAGGTAGGCATTTATTGAGATTCTGCACATTTTTTTCTCGTTCCGGTAGGCACTTCGCCGCGCAAAACCATGTCGTTGCAAGCAGCCCATTTAACTCACCCATGGCATTGCACTATCCAGTCGCTCAGAAAAAGCAGCAGTTAGGCAGTCAACACCATTTCGCGTTGTGCTGTCTCATCCCGTCCCGGTTCTTCCCGTGTGTCCGTGTTATCGGCAGGTGTTTTTCTTTGTGGACTGGATGAAGCATCAGCTGGCGGACCCAACAGTTACGCAGTTGGCACCATTTCACCTCGTCCCCGTCCCGTCCCGTTTTGTCCCGTGTGTCCGTGTTGTCGGCAGGTGTTTTTCTTCGTGGACTGGGTGAAGCACCAGCTCGCGGATCCGAAGCTCTTCCGCACCTTCCTGCGCGTCGTCGTCTTCTCCTTCGGTGGCGTCGGCGCTCTCGCCTTCGCCGTCGGCATGGCCACCGGTGAGAGATGGGTTCTGCTGTGAAAGAACACGGGGATGTGCGTGCGTGGGTGGTCGATGCATTCGCTCGTCGCATCACCCACATTCGATTCTCTTATCACATGTCACACCCATCGGACCTCCTTTTAATCGTCTTTCACAACCGTCTGGCCTCCGTGTTATCACGCCTTGCGCTTGTCTGAGCTCCGTCTGATTGCCTCACGCCTTCGTCTCCTAACCCCTGCTTTTCTTTCGTGCATCACTCTTTCACGTTTTCCCCTCCTCCCCCGCCTTCCCCGTCTATCCCACTCTCCCCTCTCCCCCTCTCCCCCTCTCCCCTCTTCCCTTCTCCCCTTTCCCCGTCTCGCCTCTTCCTCTCTCCCCCTTCACCGTCTCGCCTCTTCCCCTCCCCCCTTTTCCACTCTCAACTCGCCCGCACCCTCACACGCCGCAGGCTACATCTCCCCACGTACGCCAAGGAACACATCCCCATCATCGCGTCCGTGTGTCCTTCCGTGTCCCTCCCTTCCTTCTCTCCCATCCCATCTTTCCCTTGCCCGCGCTCCCCCCTGCGTGCCAGGTTACATCTCGCCGTGGACGGGGCGGTTCTACTCGCTGCTGGACCCCACGTACGCCAAGGACCACATCCCCATCATCGCGTCCGTGTCGGAGCACCAGCCCACCGCCTGGTCCTCCTTCTTCTTCGACTTCCACATCCTCCTCATCCTCTTCCCCGCTGGTCAGTGCCGCCCTTGCCCCCATCTTCCCTCCCCTCTTCCTCCTCACCTTCCGCAAAACACTCGGAGTTCCCTCTAAGCACTTTCCTCCCTTTCCCCATCTCGGCCCCCCTCCTCTTCTCCCCAACCCGTCCCCTCATCCTCCTTTGCATTGCTCCGTAATCCTGGCCTTACCCCGTGTGGCAAACCTCCATTGCGTGCCCACCCACCTTCCCACCCACCTTCCCCGCCGCCTGCCAACCCCCTCCTGTGCCAAACCCTTCCCCTTTGCCCATGCCAAACCCCCATCTCTGCCAACCCCTCCCCCCGTCCCTTCTTTCCGCTTCTTGTTGCCACACCTTGCCGCCGCTTGCGTGTGCGCTTGCCCAGGGCTCTACTTCTGCTTCAAGCGTCTCAACGATGCGTCCATGTTCGTGATCATCTACGGGCTCACAGCCATGTACTTCGCGGGCGTCATGGTGCGCCTCATCCTCGTCGCCACGCCCGCCCTCTGCCTCCTCGGCGCCGTCGCCGTCAGCGCCTCCCTCTCCCGCCTCTCCGCCATCGCCCGTGAGAAGACTCCGGAACCTGCTGCTGCTGCTGCTGCTGCTGCTGCACCCAGCTCTGCGAAGCTGTCTGGGAAGGCGAGGGACAAGCTGAAGGTGAGTGGGGATGCGTGGAAGGAACACTGGGCTTGCCATGTGTCTGTTGCAGCCCTGGCTTCTTGTATTCATGTGACTCACCCTTTTCTCCCTTTTTTCTTTGCGTCTCAATTGCTGCCCCTCCCCTCCCTCAATCGCGCCCGCCCTCGGCTCGCCACAGGGTGCGCAGGACAGCTCGCTGCCGTACCAGAAGGAGGGCGCAGTGGTGCTGATAGCGGGGATATTCTTCTGCCTGATCAATTTCGCGCGGCACTGCACGTGGGTGACGTCGGAGGCGTACTCATCCCCGTCCATTGTGCTCATGGCCCGCCAGCACAACGGCGACCGCGTCATCTTTGATGACTTCCGTGAGGCCTACTTCTGGCTCAAACACAACACCAAGCCCGATGCCAAGGTGCGTGGGTGGGTGGTTGGGGGGTTGGGTAAGGGTGTGTGTGTGGCTTATGATTCGCCTCACAGGTCATCTTTGATGACTTCCGTGAGGCCTACTTCTGGCTCAAACACAACACCAAGCCCGATGCCAAGGTGCGTGGGTGGTGGGTTGGATGGGGGGGTTGGATTGGTGGGGTGTGTGTGTGTGGGATTGTTGAGGCGCCTCAGCAGTCATCTTTGATGACTTCCGTGAGGCCTACGTCTGTCTCAAGCACAACACCAAGCCCGATGCCAAGGTGCGTGGGTGGTGGGTTGGATGGGGGGTTTGGATTGGTGGGGTGTGTGTGTGTGTGTGATTGTTGAGGCGCCTCAGCAGTCATCTTTGATGACTTCCGTGAGGCCTACGTCTGTCTCAAGCACAACACCAAGCCCGATGCCAAGGTGCGTGGGTGTGGGTGTGGGTGTGTTTGTGTGCTGGTGTGTGTGTGTGTGCAGTAATGAACGTCCCTCTCTCCCCCCCTATTCCCCTCCCGCCCACCCTTGTCCCCCTCCCCCACCCCCTCCAGGTGATGTCGTGGTGGGACTACGGGTATCAGATCACAGCAATGGCGAACCGCACAGTCATCGTGGACAACAACACGTGGAACAACACTCACATCGCCACTGTGGGGCGCGCCATGGCCTCGTACGAGGAGCAGGCGTACGGCATCATGCAGCAACTGGACGTTGATTACGTGCTCGTGGTGTTTGGAGGAGTCACGGGCTACTCGTCCGATGATATCAACAAGTGAGTTCCCTTGTTAGTAGTCATTGCGAGGCGAGACACAACGTCGCCCTGTGGCGTGTGGTACGAGGAGCAGGCGTACGGCATCATGCAGCAGCTGGACGTTGACTACGTGCTCGTGGTGTTCCGAGGGGTCATGGGGTACTCGTTTGACAATATCAACAAGTGTGTGGGTTCTGCTTTGCCATGGTGTGCTCTCTCGTACGAGGAGCAGGTGTACGGCATAATGCAGCAGCTGGATGTGGACTATGTGCTCGTGGTGTTTGGGGGAGTCACGGGTTACTCGCGTGACGATACCAACAAGTGAGCCTTTCTTTGACATGTGCGCTGCTGTTTTGTGTGGTTAGGGTGTAATGGGGCCTCAGGTTCTTGGTTTCACACCCCCCTCTCTCCCCGTCCCAGGTTCCTGTAAATGGTGCGCATAGAAAAGGGTGTGTCTCTTGGCATCAAGGAGCTCCTCCCTTCCTGTCCTCCCATCCTCCTGTCCCCCGCATTCTGGCCCCCACCATCCCTCTCTCCGTATTCACGACCCACCTCCCCAGGTTCCTGTGGATGGTTGGGGGTGGTGTGTTCCCAGACATAAAGGAATTTTAACCTATCCCCTCCCCTCCTCTCCCCTCCTCTCCCCTCTGACTTTCTCCCCCCTCCCTCTTACTCTCCCCGTTCAGGTTCCTGTGGATGGTGCGCATTGGAGGGGGGGTGTTTCCGGACATAAAGGAGCCGGACTATCTCAACAATGGGGACTATCGCACCGACGCGAATGGCTCGCCCAAGATGCTCAACTGCCTCATGTGAGTGCTCAACTGCCTCATGTGAGTGCTCAACTGCCTCATGTGAGTGCTGCCTCGAGGTGACTTTTGAGTTGACCCAAAAGTCACCTCTTTACCGCACGGACGCCAATGGCTCGCCCAAGGTGCTCAACTGCCTTATGTCAGTGCCGCCTTGAGCCATTGCTAAGCCGTGCTGCCTCCTGTGATTTCTGCCCCGTGTGAGCCCGCCGCTGCTGCCACTGTGCCTCCCACTGCACTGTCATTGCACCAAAACATGCCACACAACACCATGTGCCACATGTATCGTGTGCCGCGTGCATCATGTGCCACATGCATCATGTGCCGCGTGCGTGCCATGCGCATGATTCTTCATTCTGCCATCACCTCCACCTTGTAGCCCCTTCCATTGTCCCTCATTATTAGCTGCTTCTTTGCATTCGCGCTAATAAATATCTTTGTCCCTGCCTGCTGGCATTCCGCTTGTATTGTTCCATGCCCCCTTGTGCTGCATTTGGGATGGTCGTGGGTGGTGTGTGTTCTGTATGTTCTGTGTTCATGCGTGTGTCATGGCAGGTACAAAATGTGCTACTACCGCTTTGGCGAGCTGCAAACGGAATATGGCAAGCCAACCGGGTGAGTTAGACTGCAGGGCAAGCAGGTGAGTGAGGGGGCAGGGCAAGCGGGTGAGTGAGAGAGCGGGAAAGTGGGTGAGTGAGGGGGCAAAACAAGGTAGCAAGGAATTTCTGCAGCTTCAACCTCTCCACCATGTGCACTTGAAAGTGCATGGGAGGAGGTCCTAGGCCCTCGGATTGACATGCACTCTCCCCCTTCCTCCCTCGCAGGTGGGATTGGGCACGCGGGTACGAGATAGGCAACAAGGACATAGAGCTGGAATACATCGAGGAGGCGTTCACCTCTGCCAGTTAGTCCTTCGTTCACTTCCGTTCCTCCCTTCATTGTCCCCTTCCCCGCCTTCACCGCACGCAGGTGGGACCGGGCACGCGGGTACGAGATAGGCAACAAGGACATCGAGCTGGAGTACATTGAAGAGGCGTTCACCTCGGCCAATTGGATCGTGCGCATCTACCGCGTCAAACAGCCCGACAACCGCTGGTAGCACGCCCTTGCTCGCCTGCTCAGCTCAGGCCTGCTGGGACAGCGGCAAGAGCACAGGAACAGGGGGCTGCAGCAGAGCAGGGAATGTGGTGGCAGGGGCAGGGTCCGGAAAACAGGTGGTGGTGGTGGAGGGTATCGAACTTGGCAATCCCTGGTGGTACCAGGGGGTTGGGGCGGCTAGGGTAGGATGGATGATGAACCAGCCAAGCAACTGGACAACCAATCAGCTAGCAACCAGCTGGTTGAAGCAACTTGGCTGGGAAAACCTCACCCACTGTCCCTCCTTGCTGTCTTCTCAGGGTTGACCCGCTGCGATAGTTTTCATGTCTGTCCGTTTGGTTTTGTGCATATCAGCAGGGGGCAGTGGTGAACTGACAATGATAAGTGAGGCATCTTGCTGGGTTGGAATGTGCTGTTGCCTGGAGCCATTTTTACGGTATCTTTTGCCGAACACATGGCAGGGCAGGGCAGCATTGTGTTGCTAGGGGGTGGTTATCCATTGTGCTGGTTTTCAACCTGGCCCATGTTCAGAGAGTGATTTGATTATACTAATGTACTGTGCGGCATTTCATGTCAACACTAATTCAAATACCGCACAATGACGTTGAGACTGCCTGGGCAAGGGATCTATGAACACAAACAAGGAATGCACTCCAAAGTGATGTATTACAGCGGGCAGTACCCTGCTTCCCTCACACCTTGCACCTCTTAATTTCATCCTTTGGCCTCTCAACTTTCACCCTGTGCTGCTCCCTCCAAACTCATGCTTTCTGCCTCCCCTCCTGGTCCTACTGCCTCTTCTGTCTGTCCTTGTGCTTGCTGCAAGCGATTCAAAATGGCAAGAGCGAGAGCATAGGCCTGCTTGCGCTTCACTCGCAGAGCATCAGCAGCCATCCTAGCAGCCTTCACAGGGGCAGGGGCATGAGCAGTTGCATGTATGCCGTGGCAGCACCCACACACCAGCAGCACACCACAAAGAATGGTAGGGGAGGTTAGGATGAGCGTGATTAAGGAGTGTGATTTTGCAGCGTTGAAATGGAATCCTGCAGAATAAGGTGAAGCTGCCTCAAAGAACAGCCTGTGAGCTAACCTGTGAGGGGGGTGTGCCGTCGAGAATCAGCTTCTCAAGGTAAGCTGTCACCTCCTCCTCCCCAGTCTGCTGCAATGCGTCCAGGTCCTTTCGGGGGAGGCCATCAATTACCAGGGTGAATTCCCCTTTTGGCCCCCGAGCCGTGAACTCCGCAAGTGCTTCTGAGAGTGTCCCTCGCCACAGCTGAGCAAGAGAGCGGACAAACGCAACATTGCGGGCAGGATTCAGCTGAGGACAAACAGAACAAATTGTTGAAGACAGTGTGTTTGAGTGGATGAGAGAATGATACGGTATGTGCATGTGGGGAAAAGAAGGAGAATCATGGAGCATGAACTCCATACGTTAATGAAAGTGCTATTTTTTCAAGAAACTCCGAACCTCTTCGTGCAGCTTGGTAAGCTCCCGAGCCACGAGGCATGGGCGGTCCGGGCCAAAGGCGAGGATGCAGTGGGAGAGCGAGGAGAGCAGCTTGTGTGGCGCCACAAACAGCACCTGCATCGCCTCCCCCTGCGCTGCTTCCTGCAGCCGACGCTGCCGCACTGCCGACCGCTCTGGGAGGAACCCCACTGGATGGGCAAGACAATGAAGGAGGAGGCATGGAAATGGGAGGAGAGCAGCTTGTGCGACGCCAAAGTGCGGAAAAATCCACTTTTGAGACGTCTCAAAAGTCAGCTTGTGTGATGCCCAAGTGTGCTGCAATGCGAAGAGACAAAGCAGAGCATGACAGCAGAAGACGCAGATCACCCACATGAGCCTCATCACGCACAGAAGGTGAAGCCGTTGGTGAGAAAGCCAGCTGCCGCAACCGCAGTGGTGGCAGCAGACGGGCCGGGAATCACGCTGACGGGGACTGCTGATTCAGCGCACGCGGCGACCAGGTCAGCACCGGGATCGCTGACACCCGGCATGCCTGCGTCAGACACGAGCGCCAGTGATTGGCCGGATCGCATCCGACCAATGAGAGCCTCTCGACGAGCCGTGGCATTGAAGGCATGATAACTCATCTGCACATTGTACAGTACAGGCGGGGGTAAGTAAGAGCTGATTTGAACATTGTAACAGGCAGAACAAGGGAGGGAGCAGGGGAGAGAGGGAAAGAAAGGAGTATGTGTTCTGTTCTCACCATGTAGGATCCTAAAGCCAACAAGAAAAGCAGCCCACCATGGGTGTGGTGATGTTGTAGAAACGCAGTAACTTGACAGAGCGGCGCGTGTCCTCTGCTAGAATGAGGTCGGCACAGCGCAGCACCCTCAGCGCCCTGGTGGGATGGTGATGGGGGATGGTGGTGTGGGATGGTGGGCTTGGGATGATTGGCACATCGCAGCACCTGATGGTAGCCACACCAATCTGATGGTAACCGCAACCATCTGATGGTAACCACACCCACCTGATGGTAACCGCACCCACGGCAACCACACCCACCTGATGGTAACCGCACCCACCGTAACCACACCCACCTGATGGTAACCGCACCCACCTGATGGTAACCGCACCCACCTGATGGTAACCGCACCCACCTGATGGTAAACGCACCCACCTGATGGTAACCGCACCCACCTGATGGTAACATCTTCTAAGTTGCCGATAGGTGTTCCCACCAGATACAGCCCAGGGGCCAAGCGCAGCTGCAGGTATGCACAGAGAATCAAGAGGGGGGGGGGGGGGAGGGGGGGAGGAAGTGGGGGAGTTTGAGGCGCCTCAGAAGTTGCCGATAGGTGTTCCCACCACATACAGTCCAGGTGCCAAGCGCAGCTGCAGGGGTGCAGTGCATGACTGTTGAAGGAGGGGAGAGGGAAGGGGAGTGTGTGGGAGGGGGATGGGGAGGGGAAAGGTTAGGTGGGGCAAAAGAGGGCAAGTGCAGAGATTCAGGACAAGGAGGGGGGAGTTGTAAAAGGCATGGTGCTCCTTGGAACCACGTGGAACCACGTGGGACCACGTGGGACCACTTGGAATCACACAGATTCCTACACGACGGGTGATACCTTGTCCGGCCATTTGCACATGTCCTCGTTATAGAGCCGTTCGTTACTGCCTTCTCCGTCCTCTGCTAATACTTCCTCCTCCCATGCTCCTTCCTCCTCGCTGTTCTCCCTCAGCATCAGCTCCGAGTCGCCTCCCCGCGTGTCGTCTCCACTCGTATCGCCGCCCATTGCGCTGCGCCTCTCGGCTTGCGCCCGACAGATCTCACTGTCGTCAGCCAACGACCCGCCAACCGCGGCAGAATCGTCTCGCGCGATTCCACCAGCCGTTACTCCGGGCTGCGCACATCCCCTGAAACCCCTCTCCAAACCCGCGTAGAATCCGCGAGAGCACAGAAACGCTCTTCTCCGCTGTCCACGCGATCTTGCGTTCCATGGCTGCGACGGATCCCCTTCAGGTGAATCCGTTCGCCCGTGTTTTCTGGAGACATTTGTGAAGCCTCGAAAAGCAAACGAATGTCGATTCGCTGCTTGTATTCTTCGCGTGGGATTCGGAGCTACGCTGCGAGCGAGCTTTCCTGCGGCCCTTGATACCACCAGCCTGCCCGCAGCGTGCGCTGCAGCCATGGCTCCTCTTCAGTCACTAGTTTAGAAGCATAGGCACGTCGGAGAGTGTGAGTTGCGGCGAATCTGACGACAACTTGTGAGGATGGCCCTTCAAATTCGGTAGATTCTCGTTCTGCGCACAATTCGCCATGAAATGCGGCGCGTGTTGTGGTATCGGGGGAACTCGAGAATTTCTAGTGCTAAATGCTATTGATGATATCTAATAGCCTACGAAGTGTGTAACTGTACGAAACGTGAGAGCCTACAAACCCGAAACTGCAACCTATGAGACGCGGCATTTTCAATATCGAGGATGGACCAAATCGTTTTGAATCTTGTGGAGGAATGTGAGGCGAGTATCCCAGTTGTTCGCCGAGAATTATCGCGAATGCGCGAAGGTTATGTTGCTGAGCCAGTTCTCACAAATCAAGAACATGGCCACGTCCGGTGGCATTGCGATGCTTTCGTAGACGTGGCACACGTGTCGCAGAGGACCACGATTCGCTAACCGCGTCGTTGCTCTACCCCTCGGAATAATGCGGCTCCTCGTTTAGCTCACAGTGGCGGCACCGATTCCTATTGTCACTGTTTATGGGGTCCCTGATTCGCATGGCATCGAAACTGCTTTGTGCGACTGGAAATTTTGTCGCGTCGTGAATCGTGATGCAATTGCCCGCAAGCTCGCACGGCCTTGATTCGGGACCTGGTGACCACATTCGCAGATCTCGCATGCTGGACACACTCGCGCACAGCCCAACGGGGAGGACGATTCGTCAGGCCCTCGCGAAGTCCCATGATGCGTCGTGCAGAATCAGGCAGACGAGGCGCGTGTCGCTCAACCATAACTATCCATCGCAACGAATTGTCCCAACCCACCGCGATTCTGCGCGTCGAAATTCCTCTCACCCCCTTCCCCCCCTTGCCCGTGCTCCTCTCCAGAATCACACCCGCCATTCATAAGTTCGAGAAGCAAGCATCATTGCAAAGCAAGCAAGCCGTCAGTGCAGTTGACTTTATCCCTGTAGTTGACTTTAGTGAGGCCAGGACAGCAGGGACAGCACCTAAAAGCAACCCCCAGCTTCTCCAGCAGCCCGACGAGTTTATTCGTAGTGCTCGCTTCTGCTGTTAGGGGAAGGTCGTTGCAGGAAGTGTACTTGAAACCTTCACTTGTGTATGAGCTAGCATCGTTCTCGGCTCAGCCCCTCCCTGCTCACTCCGCGTCCGTCGGCAACTGCGAGCCAAAATGGTGCAGATCAAAGAATTGTAAGAAGCGTTTCTTTTACGTCGTTGCGTCTAATCTCGCCACTCCAATTCCGATTGGTTCTCAATCTTCTCGCTGCTTTGCGCGACTCGAACTGTTTGATTCTCGTCTGTGCTAGGAAGTTCTGCTTGTTTTTGTCGGAGTTTGCCATGGAGTGCTGTTGACAAAATTTCGTGCAAGATTTACATCTGACCTGTTTCGTGCTCCTGTTTCTGTTTGTTTCTTGTTTTGGTGTGGACCTCGGGTTACTCCCTCGCGATTATCGACGGTGTTCTTTGTCAATGACAACGGCGCTGGCTGTGCGCTCGTCACTCGTGTCTCCTCACTCATCTCTCGCCCGTCATCGCGTGTGCTCCATCCTCAGCCGTATCACCATGCCCTTTACTCTCGACGAGGTACGCTTACGTGAATCAACCGGCTCACTCGGCTTTTCTCGTCCATTCCAGCTCAACTTAGACCAGCGAGTGATGCACATCGAAGCAGATTTCTCTCCGTACCCTTACCATTCCGCATCCTCTCCATTCTCTCATATTTTTCAGTCTCCTCCCTCCTTTTCTCCCTCACATTCCATTCTCAAATGTGCCAGTATCGAGTGGGGCAGACGTACATGCGGTCGCGAATGCAAATGGAGAACACCAAGGGGCGCGAGGGCATCGAGGTGATCGCAAGCGAGCCGTTTAAAGACGACGTCTTGGGCGAGGGGCACTTTTCGCACGTCGTCTATCACTTTCAAAGCCGCGCGCCCGCGTGGATCCGCGCGCTCGCCCCGGTCGAGGCGCTGCGGCTCGAAGAAAAGAACTGGAACGCGTTTCCCCGATGCCGCACGGAGATTAGCGTAAGCTAATATGGGGAAGGATGGAAGCGAAAAGGGAAGGGGGCCCAGAAGGGGCGCCGAGAAACCAAGGCGACGCTACAAGCAAAACGTGGAAGCTTTTCCTGCGCGCTGATTGCTTCTCTACCTCGTTAATGACCGTGCTCCACCTCTCCTGTCTTCCCCGTTCGTTACAGTGCCCGTACTTCTCCAACTACAAGATCACCACCGACTCGTTTCACGTCGCCGACCGTGGCGAATCGGAGAACGTGAGTGTCGTGCACACTGTCGCAGGGTATTTCGCTTCCAGAGAAATTCTGAAGTCTGTCAGAAGCTCGCAATGGCTCACATTGAACTTGCCGATGTGGGCTGAAGAGCACTGAAACATCCCAGAATGTTCTGCGTTTTTCTGTGTTCTTATCTTCGAGTGCGACCTGCGCTCTGACTGTTGCTCCTCAATCGCTCATTCGTCTTGTCTCATCCCCATCCGCGTCGCCGCCAGGCGCTGAAGCTGTCGGAGGCTGAGCTGGAGCTACGCAAGGTGGACCACTTGGACATCGCGTCGGCCGACAGGGACATGTGGTCGCGAACCATCGCGCGGAAACGCACCGACCCCTCCAAGATCGCCCTGCTTAAACTCAACCGCGGCCCGCTCGTCCCCGGATGGCAGGTAAGCGAATAAGCAGTCGGGTAACCAGCCAGCAACAGCATTTGCTCGCTATTTTTCTCATAAAGGCTTTCACTCATATTCGGTCTTCGGTTCCTCTTCCCTGTTTCCGGATGCAGGAAACGTGTCAGCCTGTAATGACGGTCTACAAGGTTGTACACGTGGACGCACCCTACTGGGGGATCGGTCGGCAGATGGAGCTCGCGACTATCGCGGTGAGTTCCGTCGCAGGGAATTCTGCCAGCTATCTCACTCAATCGGCTCTTGTTGCATCTCTTCGATAACTGCAGAAGTGGCTATTTCCCGTGTCACAACTCTAGCGGGGGTATCTTCACTTGAAGCCCGCTCTAACTCTAATGAATCCCCATCCCACCCTCCCCATCCCACAATCTCCCTCCGGATTTCGTTCAATTGCAGGCGCAACGCGCTCTTTACCTGGAGGCGCACAGGAAGTGCTATGGGTGGGCAGACGACTGGTGCTCTTTGACTGTGGCTGATGCACGGCGGATAGAGCAGGAGAACATTGACAAAATGCGAAAGGTGAGGGGTTGATGGTAACTTGGGCTTGTAACACGTGCTGCAAGCTTGCTGGTGACATACTTTCCTGGTTTTCTTAAATACCCTCGCAAGGGAGTATCACATGCTGGTGTAGCTTTCATTTGCATTGTGCATCTCTCTGGTCAATAATAAAAAAGCACTTCGAGAAACAATATCATCATCACCCTAACCGTCACCTTGTTTGTACATACACCCTGTGCCCACAGAGCCTTTCCTTGAGTGACCGCTTTGATGAAGAAGCTTCCAGCGAGTCAACAGAGGATGCAGAAGAGGGAGAGGAGGAAGAGGAAGAGGACATGTTCAACACGGTGGCACCCCTGCCTGCTGTTGCTTCTGTGGCTGCATAATTCTAGTCTACGGACAAAATAAGTCTGCATTGCTGCAAAGAGCACTGCCATGCCATGACGACTGTACACAAAGAGAGCACCAGCAGTGGCTGGGTGGAGACTGCAAGCTTGCAGTAGGTGCAATACTGAGTAGGCAACTAAGGTGGGTGGCAGCATGGAACAGCTTACGGAATGCATGATCACTGAGCTCACTGTAGGAGAGACAGTTAGGTGCCACAGATCTATTTTATGTAAAAATGTACTGCTCGCTTACGGGACCTCCTTAATATTCAGTACGAGAAACTGGGATGGATGTGCCATCTCAGGATGATGATATTGTTGGCATGGTCTGCTGATGTATAGCATTGTTGTAACCCCATAACAACAATAGCAGTGGAAAATGTATGGCCAAGCATTCAGCATGACACAGACTGGTGTTTGGGTGTCTTGTCTTGTCCATCCCCTATTCCAGGGATTTTCGATGACCGTAAAAATTAATGAACACATGTTTTTGAAAGCTGGAAGAAACTACGTTTTGATTTCTGTTCTCCATATTCTCACCATTTTACTTCTCATTTACCATATGGTTCTCATTTATCGTATGTGTTAACGTCACTGTTCCCTATCTGAACAGCAACACCACATCCCCCGCATCCCTATCCATCAACATCAACCACTGATTGCGACTACGTTTTTAATTTCGGCACGTCGTAACCCAATTACTGAAGTCGCTGAGACATTGTGCAAGACACCTCCGAGCGTCGTTGCAGTGTGCGCAGATGTCGCGTACTGGTAACAAGGCACTCTCACAAGCACGTCAATTCGCGAAGCTCTCGCAAATGCCAGCCTGTGCAATTTGCAAATCCTACATTCGAAGCGCATGCCTTTCCACCAATCTACATCCGCTATTGTAACAACTGGTCACTCGCTCGCCCTTTCTGCCACCTCAATCCCCCACCCCTCCCCATCCACCTGCTCAAATCTCTCCTCTTTCCCCCTCCCCCCCAGACCCCACCCTTGCTCTTCCTCATTCAACTCCATCCGCCATACAATCTGTAGTGAGACGAGAATCTTGTTTGCTCTCCCATTCCCCCAACCAAGAAACCCAACGAAGTCTTTTCCGTCACCCAATCCAGTGCTCTTGACCAACGGCTAGAAACGAGAAATAGTAAAGCAACGCACCTTCAGCTCCTCGAGCACGGCCTCTCGAAGTGCTCGTTTCTTCTGCAAGGGTGTTGGAAGGAAGTGTCAACTGACTGGGAATCCTAGCAATTTCATCCAACGACCTTGCGTCCAACGCGGCTCAGCCCCATCCAGTTTCGCGCCGCGCCCGTCGACAACTGCTAGTCAGAATGGTGCAGATTATGGAATTGTGAGATGCAAAATGATTCTCCGGACGCGCTTCCTCGTTTACCCAAGCATCTGACTTGTTCCCCTCATTCTTGTTTCTTGGTTTGCGCGGTCTGCGGGGTTCTCCCTCGCCGCGATGTCATTGTGGCGAGTTGATTTTGAGGCGACTCAAAAAACTTTTTTTTTATTGTTCCCTCTTGCTTGTTCCTTGTTTTGCGTGGTCCCCGGGGTTCTCCCTCGCTGCGATGTCGTTGTGACGATATCGACGGCTCTCCGCGCTCGTCGCTCGCCTCTCGTCGCCTCGCCACCTCCCATCGTCCGTCCGTCGCGCGTGGTTCACCTGCAGCCTCATCACGATGCCCTTTTCTCTCGACGAGGTACGCACACGCGCGCGCGCAAGCATACTACCCATGCGCATGCCATGGTGTTACTTTTGAGATGCCCTTCTCTCGACGAGGTGCGGATGCCATTCTCAAAAGTAACACCAGCGATGCCCTTTTCCCTCGACGAGGTACGCACACGCGCACGCGCACGCTCATGCGCATGCGCATGCCTATGCACATCCACCCTTCACTTGCCATTTATGAGATGCCTCACGGATCGTCTCACTTCATTTCACGCACAGGCGCACCCACCCTTCAACGCAAGCCGTACCTTACACTCTTGAGGCGCATAAAAACCCTATACTCGACGCAAGCCACGCCAAGGCCAGTTTGCGGCGCTAAACAACACGGAACATACCAACCAGCCCTATCCACGCAAGCCACGCCAGCCCTATCCTTCCTCTCTCTCAACCCCCCCAGTCCGTCACCCTCCTTCCGACCGACCTAGCACACACCACCTCAAGTGGGCCGCACCGCACCCACGAGCACTCGCGCATGCAATCTACCTTCTCTCACCTCCTTTGTCTCTCTCCTAACTTCCCTCCTCACACCCTCCCCGTACATTATCGCATGTGACAGTATCACGTGGGGCACACGTATATGCGGTCGCGAATGCAGATGGAGAACACCAAGGGGCGCGAGGGCGTCGAGGTGATCTCTAGCGCGCCGTTCAGAGACGCGGTTCTGGGCGAGGGGCACTACTCGCACGTCGTGCACCACTTTCAGGGCCGCGCGCCCGCGTGGATCCGCGCGCTCGCGCCGCGCAAGGCGCTGCGGCTGGAGGAGAAGAACTGGAACGCGTACCCGCGCAGCCGCATGGAGCTCCGCGTACGCGCGCGGGGGAAGGGACGAGAGAGGGAAGGGGGGAAAGGGTGAGAGGGGAGGAGAGGGGAGGGGAGGGGGAGGGGAGGGGAGGGGAGGGGAGGGGAGGGGAGGGGAGGGGAGGGGTGTTGAGAAACCAAAGCTGCATTTGTAATGTACCGTGGAGTGGTTGGTTCACCTGATTGTGTCGACTCAAATATTGCTTCGCTTCTCATACCTCGTGCGTGGGTGCGTTCTGATCCGTTCTCCACCTCTACTGTCGCCCCCTTTCTCCACCTCCTCCCCCCCCCCCCCCCCACAGTGCCCGTATTTCACCAACTTCAAGATAGTCGCCGACACGTATCACATCGCTGACCGAGGCGACACGGAGAACGTGAGTGTTGCACGTCTTGGGTTTAGGATGCTACTCGCCAGGGATAGGCGTACAGGTCTGGAATGCACAAACCTGACAAGCCTACTAGGTGACGGATGAGAAGCAGACAAGCAGTGTGAGGCAGCGTGGGTAATTTCTTCTGCTTCTTGTGCATCCCAAACTCTCACGAGGTGACTTTTGAGTCGACTAAAAGTCATCTTGAGCATCCCAAACTCTCACGTTCCACCATTACCTTACCTTGCGCTCCTCTTACCTTGGTTTGCTCCTCAAACACACCTCCCTTTTCCCCCCCCGCCCCCTCTCTCAAGCCCCCCCCCTCCTCCGCCCCCGCGCCCTCCCCTCCCCTACTCCCCCATTTGTCTCGTCATCCTCTTCTCTTCGTCCTGCAGGCGCTGAAGCTGTCGGAGGCTGAGTTGGAGCTGCGCAAGGTGGACCGCGTAGACATCGCGTCGGCCGACAGGGACATGTGGTCGCGCATCATCGCGCGGAAGCGCACCGACCCCTCCAAGATCGCCCTGCTTAAACTCAACCGCGGCCCGCTCGCCCCGGGATGGCAGGTAAGCATGGAGGGTAATTACATGGCTTGCTATTAGCTTGAATGCGCCTGCTCGTCTTGAACGGAGTTTGACGACCAGTGCGATTCGAGATTCGAACATCGTTCCCACCCGTTCCTTTCCACGTGCAGGAAACGTGTGAGCCTGTGATGACGTCGTACAAGGTGATACGAGTGGACGCGCCCTACTGGGGGTTCGGCCGGCAGATGGAGCTCGCCGCAATCGCCGTGAGTGCTGCCGCGTTGAGTCGAGTGCTGTCTTGTCGATGTCGCTGCATTGATTCATGCGATTGTCACAATGCTTGCTGCCACCGTCAGAAACACCTTACCGATCGTTTTTCCTATCCTAACGCCCTCCTCTCTTTCTCCGCATCCACGGCTCCCTCCTTCCCCTTTCCCGCTTCCCCCTTCCCTCTTCCCCCTTCCCCTCTCTCCCCGCACTCCCCCATTCGACCTCAGGCGCACCGCGCGCTTTACCTGGAGGCGTACAGGAAGTGCTATGCATGGGCTGACGAATGGTGCGAGCTGACTGTGGCGGACGCACAGCGGATCGAGCAGGAGAACATCGACAAAATGAGAGAGGTGAGAGCGCGGTGTGTAACATCCGCTTGTAACATTTGTTACAGCTTTTAATTAGTGTATGCTCTCCTGGGCATCCCAAGCTCGTATCATGAACCACCAAAGCATATTACAACCCTTATTTCTATCATATAACGTTTTTTCCTGGCGCACTCATTCCCACCCTCTGCCCACATCAGAGCCTTTCTTTGACTGATCGCTCAGATAACGAAGAATTTAGTGATGCAGTGGACAGTGACGAATTTAGCGATTCTGTAGAAGGTGAAGAATTCAGCGATGCAGTGGATGATGCAGTGGAGGGTGCAGTGGAGAGGGAAGAGGAAGGGAAGGAAGCAGAGGGCGTGTTCAAGTCAGTAGCAGCTCTACCTGCTGTTGCTCCCGTGGCCGCATGACCATGACAACCGACAATAACAGCTCCATGGCGATGCAGATCGGTCCATGCCATGAGCTTTCCCGTCGCCATCACTGTACAGTGTTAAGAGCTCAACAACGGTGGCTGCATGAACATGGCAACGGACAACAGCTGCATAGCGATGCAGACTGAGCTATCGAAGAGACCATAAGCTTTTTTATGGCGACTATTGTGTACAGTTTAAAGAAGTTACGGGCAGTGGTTACGATGCACGCTCTGTTATGGCATAAGCTTGCAGTGGTTGCACCACTCTGCAAAGTTGCAAAGATACACCCCTCTGCACGCTACTTAGTCGGAAATGAGAAGCAGGGCGGAGGGGAGTTTGTCATGCCTACATGCAACATGGTAGTACAGAAGGCACATCACATGCAACATGGTAGTACAATAGGCACATCACATGCAACATGGTCGTACAACATCACATGCAACGTTAAGGTAAAGGAGGCACATCACATGCAACATGATGTACGAGAGGCACATCACTTGCAACATGATACGTACAAGAGACACATCACGTGCAACGTAATAGTACGAGAGGCACATCCCAAG